AGTGTCTCTCCGCATGATTTCATCTCCGAAGATAATCTACTGATTTGGAAGAAATTCGGTATTAGGAATCTACACTAAAAGTTTTAATTTTTTTTTATCTTTGTTAATATCAGTCTTATATAACCACAGGTTTACAAGGAGTTCAAATCGCATCACAGACCTGAAAATGTTTAATGACATAAAATATGCTTATGTTATCTTTAAGGACCAAAACTTATATAGGCGAGGTGGGAAATTATCAGCTCAATTAATATTCGTTGTAATTCTGACTCTCATCCAGTGCAATTACCTTGCAACAACACAACTAACTAACTACATGGCTTACGGAACCCGAAGGTTCATCACCGATTTAACCAAAGCCCTCCACCGGATCCTGTCCTGGGCCAACAAAATCCAGTCTCCTTCGACTCCTATCTCCCATAGATCCCGCTTGCCATTATCCTCCCATCTACGTCTAGGTCTTCCCAGCAGTCTCTTCGCTTGCCGACCAATACCCGGTGCACACCTCTTGAACAATTCATGTGCACTACATGCCCAGCCCATCTCATTTTTCTTGACTTAATGATCCCGCAGTTTTCTCCATGCACCATCGTCTTCTCTCCTAGGCCCAAATATCCTCCTCGACACCCTAATCTCAAACACCTGCAATCTATGTTCTCTCTCAGAGTGAGAGACCATGTTTCGCACCCATAAAAAACAACTGCATCTTAAAATAAATTAAGGTCAATGATATATGCAAAATCACGAATAACGAGTGTAAAGCGTGGCCTATAATTCCGAAGTGTTCGACGATTGGGCGACAATTCTATTATGGCGGGTCAACAGAATAAAAAACGGATTACTCTTACTTACATTTTATTTATTTATGGTTTATGTAACGACGTTTTCAATAGCTGAGACTATAGCCTCAGGGTAAGTGTAGAATAACACGATGGCTGATAAATAATGATTTTAAAATGATATGAAAAGGAACGGTCGTGGCATAACTTATGGTACTATCCCGGAATTTGCCGGGAGGTACTGAAAAAATCACAAAACCCTCAGCCAGAATATTCAGACAAACCTCTCGAATACCAGGCACTCAGCCACGACGTTCCATTTACTTCAGAGCACAGTAAAATACAAAGTAGGCTTTTACTTAAACATACCTTATTAATTGCACAAATTGAGTGAGAAACACTACTTAAAAATAACGAGCCATTTGAAGACGACAGTTTTGCCACTTGTCTAGAAATATTCTCAGCACGCGAGGTCTAGTTGGAACAGGTGGTGGGTATTTTGAATACTGTATACTTACTCTTCAAAATAAGGAAAAGTTAGATGATGAGGGAAATGCTGGTACAGACATCTACACGGAGCTTAAAGGCGCTGTGCGGGATCTTACCGCCGATCATACGATGGTCATACCGAAAATAAACAGGACTCTCCATAACAATTAGCAATATTTTATCATTCAAAAAGTAAAATGCAGTCTAGTACGTACTAAGTCACACCGTCTTCTCATATTGACTCTTAAGGAACAAACAAACTTATGCAGCATAGTCACACTCAAATAATTAACTTATGTACTCTAGTGTGCTAATAACACGAATTATGAACACGTGCATGGATACAACCACGAAAATTGAAGATTTTAAACACATTAGCAGTACATATTTAGTTTCAGACGCCTTTCCAATACCCCCCGAAAAATTATTGTATTATGTTTCGTTCTGAAAAGCAGCATGTAGACTTACGTGATTTAATATTGCATTAATTACGTACCTTCTTGTCATGACTTGTTAAGAAATAAAAGACACGTCACCTGGCTTGCAATTTGTGCTGGAATAGATCAACATTACTTCCAAACAAATACATAATCGTATTGAAATCTGCTGTGAGCTAGACATAATTACATTATTTCCTCTCTATAAGCCTTATTAAGCATGAGTTTACATTTTGCTTGAGAAACCCGTGACAGTTTCTGTATATAATTTGAGATGCTGTAAATATACGGATACTGATTAAATGACAAGAAAATATTTATACAGTTAACTTGATTTTGTCGTCCATAAACACCCCAGTCAGGACAGCCGGTCTCTGGGCTGAGATTTGAACCAAAGACACTTTGAATATGAAGCATGAGTACTAACTATTCCACCGGGATGTTTGTTGTAACACTGTTTCTTGTAAACTTCTAGACGCGGAGGAATACTCTAGGATCTTTTTATAAAATTTCAATAAAGGATTTATGAAGGTGTGGTCTTGGACTCTTTCAAGAGAAAGGCTCATAGAAGTTATGAGGCAGCAACATAAATCCAGACATTTACTTTACGCGCACAGACAACATTGTCAATTATTTTGCAAACTTTCGAAACAAAAATATGAAAACAAAATATCGTAATAAACCTACTTCTGTCACTCAGAACAAATATGAGGACACATAATAAAGAAAACTCAGTTAAGAAACTTCAAATACACATAAAACAGAGGCATGAAGCTTTCCAAATGCTCAAAGCTATATTTCCACTGCTTTTGTATCAAATGTCCAAAAATTTGGAAACACAAGTTAAGAAACTGTATTGTTCAAAGGAAAAGATGAACATATAAAAGCGAAAAACTCAAATCTGTCACTGTTGTTACAGAAATATAGAAACATCTGAAGTCCAAACATCAGTGTCGAGTTGATAGTACTCATGCTTCGTACACGGAAGTCCCAAGTTCGAATCTCGGCCCGGGAATAGCTATCCAGGGTTCTTCCTGGCCTTCCTCAATCCCTAAACGTAAATGTTTGGATAAAACATCAACACAGACAAAGCCTGTCTTTAAGGAATTCAATATTTAATTGATAAAACGCTTGAAGACTTGCTTACCTCCGCCACTCTTATAGCAGAGGTACGGAAACCTCCAGAGGTTTCCAAGTCCTACGCAGTAACCGACACATGCGAGGATGAACTGAGCCTTGTTGGGCCAATGCTGTCTCCGCGGTAACTTGTAGTTTGTCACCTCGTCCAAAGGATCGTAGCTACTGCTGTCGCTGTCCGATGACATGTCCAGTTCTGTCGGCCTGCACAAGAGAAAAAATCGAATGAAACAGGAAACGTCTTTTCAGAACGTGCCATCATGTTCGATAAACGAGAACAGCAGCAAGTACTAATTTTACTCTGGAAAGAGTTCTATGATCGGTAGATAAATTTCTTACGCTTAATAAGCCGCATAATCCGTGGCAAAAAGGGAGTTTTTGCAGTAAAATTCAACGAGAATAATATCAGTTCGCTACAACACAATAACAAAACACAAATAATTTAGATCCACCCAGTTAAGTTAGCAGACGTAAAATGAAAGTCGCATTTCTTTTCATATTTGTTTGAGAGAATTTGCCCAGTGGCTCAAGATGAGGTTAATCAGTACGAATGATGACAAGAATTGGGGTTCCATAAGGGATTTTATTGACTAAATGAACAATTTTAAACTGTTCAAGAACGAATCTGTGCCATGAAGTTCGTCATTCCTTAGACAACTTTCTGTTACATACAACGTAGCTGTGGACAATCAGAATATAATAGTTTTTGCTACATGAAAGTGCTAAAATAGTTTCTTTTCACTACATTATATATCTTCAAATACGTCAAATAAATTGTTGTAGTTAATAATCCCTTCATGTGCAGCAACTGTAGAGAACATTTTTAGAAGCGTGATTAATGTATTAATTTTAATTAGGTCTATAATGAATTACAACAGTATACAATTGTTACAGTTTTTGTTAAAGTGTGTTATGAAATTAATATTATGAAACAATAACACACTTTTTATGTAAATAATGTGGAGTAGTTTTCTCGGACAAATTCTTGCGTTCCATATCAGGAAATGACCCGTTTATTTCCTCAACATATCACGAATGGTCACATTAATTAATGTGTTATTTAAATGTAACTCGAAAGGCTGAAGATACAAAACTTTTCACTTTTGATTTTCAGGTCAAGAGGACGACTGCGTTTTCCGAGAAATAACCTATAACATGTCCATATACATCAATAAATTCGATGATAACAGCAAATGATCCTTCATTTGATATATATTTCTTACTGGTAATCATGACATAACCACTATTATGGAGTACTTCCCATGTGGTTATCTGTCTCTACGTACAGGACTCTATTTATAATAAATTCTTCTCTAAATACTGGCAGTACTCTGAGGACGAGGACGAAAATGGTTCTCCAAACGTTGGTGTTTTCTTCATTAAGCTACCCTACACGGCTGGTAGCCCGAGAAAAATTTATTATACTTAGTCGCCGTGAAAGCTTCTGAACATAGGTCTCTACTTACTTTTCCCAGTAAAATACTTCTGGCCGTGCCATAGTTCAAGCGTATAGTCGTCGGTTTCTCATGGTGGAGCCCCGGTTTCGAGCTAAGGTCAGTTCATGTGTGATTTGCGGTGAGGAAAATGACACTGGGGCATGTTTATCTCCGAGTCCATTTTGTTTACCGTGTCAATATCATTTCACCGCTGCTCCATATTCACTTATGAATCATCTTGAGATTAGGCAATGCGGTCTCTACTCTCAAAGACATTGTCTCACCTAATCGCAACAATAAAATAAAATACTTTACCTCAGACTATCCTTAATCGTCTTTCCAGTCTGTTACTGCAGTTAAGTCTTGGTTTATTACTATGACGATATAATTCTCATCAGCAGGACTGTGCAGGAAACTCCGGCACTGTTCTCAACATTGCGGCAAAGGACGATGCAGTTGCAACAGAAAAACTTTGCATCAACTCCCAGAATATTTATCACCTTTTCCAGGATGGCGTTAAACGTCTTTAGTTCTCGAATAGTGGCCTGAGTCAGGGAACAGATAAGAAACCACAATATCCTTTAAGAATGACTAAGCTCTATTTGTGTTAGCTCACTTTATTAGTACGCGCATTTCTTGAACTGGAATGGACATCCGAGAGTTTGAGCTGTTGGGAATACCACAGAAGTAGGAAAGACACCAAGCACAGTAGACGTTTGCCTTTCCTCTTTATTAATTGTGTAACTGCAAATGATTATTGTTGAATGAGGTATATGACATAGACCTGTTTAACTATGAGTCGGGAAGGATTCGAATGTAGCTGCCATGGCCTATTTTAATGCAATCCTAAAATTTGCCTAGAGGTGCTGAGAAAACTAACATCAGTTCCATAACAATCTATAATCCATAACATGCTGTCTGTCCTGATAGCGTTGTTTTTAACGCCCATGATCTCCAACGTGTGTTATAAGTTATTTTAATTTCTTCTAGATTAGGTTCAAGTTACCTAAAGATGGCTGCTAACGGCCGATACATCTTGTAAATTGAATATTCATAATCGTTCTGATAGCATTAATAAATATGAAATTGATGTTAGGAGTATTGTGTTATTCTCTGTGTGTTGAAGAACCAAAATTACAGTGTTTATCCATAACAACAGAATGCTTGCTTACAAGAAATAAACGAATAAGTACGCCTAAGTAAATATATAAATAAAAATATGTACTACTCAGTAAGACTAGGCCAAAATCGAAAAAGTTGCAACTTGTATTTCTGACGTGTTTTGGATCGTAAAAACATGTGAGTAATCAATAACATTGGTTAATTCTTTATGGAGAAATAAATCCATATTTTAAACTCTAATTTGCCTAGTGTGGAGGCTCTTCATGTCCATTGGACCAGGTTTTCTTGTGAAATTTATGGAGGCCTGTGAAAGAAAATTGGAGTAAAAAAAATATAAATTTGATGATGACATAAAAGATGACTGACAATGGAAAGACCAGAAAAGAGGTAAAAAGTGCTGACGTCTATGATGGGTGCCAAGAATGGTTATCATGCTCAAAGGAAACATCGGCGATTAATGTACATTACATGTATATTACTTAGCTCAACTTGGGCTTTTTTGGCTTAGTACTGTCCGAAAACGCGTTTTTAACATACCGCATTCTTGAAGAAAGTTCTTTGACGGTGGTGGGTTATAATCTGTAAAAATGACTTTTTGCTCATTGTCAAAACTAAAAATTGAAGCTGGAGCTTTTTCTGTCTTCAGGTATAAAGGAAAGTACACATAAATCTTAGCTGCTGGGTCCCTGGTCGAGCTAGTCTCAGCCATTTTTACAGATTATACCGCATTCTTATATAAGCACTGTAAGCCAGAATCAAGCCGTCTTTAAGAAATTTTAGCAAACACTCGCCTTTGTTATGCAGTTTTGGTTTTGTAAGGTTCACATATCTGTACATTATATATATTTCTGCTAAAGATCGAAAGTCGAGCACTTATGCTATATGCTTCACCCAATTCAAGCACAAGAGCCTGAAGTTATTAGAAAAAGCCGAAAGATGATAGTTTGTGTTCCATATAGTTCCATTAAAAGGAACGCGGTACACTAGACAGGCTAACAAGCTCTGACAGGCATTGTAGAAATGTTAATCGTTTATGACACAAAACAGGAACAAAAACTTGTTATAAAATATTAAAGAAGTCTATGTAACCGATGAATTTTTAATACGCTTTTACAGTTCGTTTTGTTTCAAAACAAAATATATTTAGTATCATCGCTATTACAAAGTTTTTTTACCTGAAACATCCTATCGTGGACATGCAGCTCATCACCTTCATATCGGATGGTAAGTAATTAATGATTTTCATCGGAAACCTACAGGCTCAATCTTGTACTGGAGAATGCGCTGAAATATGATTTAAGTATGAAGTTGCTACTAGCGTTTGAAGGACAGCCCAGCCATGTTGTTTTGGTGATATCACAGCGTCAAGTATGAAGATGGCTGTCTTTTGGGACATTGCGCCGTGTAGTCTGGTCGAAGTTTACAGACGTTTTAGAGGTACTTGCTGCCTATATCATCAAGACAATGAGTAAGCAGCGCGCGGGTTATTAGACTGGTTCACATATCTCGAACCGGGTTACTCATCGCTCTGATGATTGAGCATCAAACACCTCTGAAACGTCGGCAAACTTCTACCAGACTACTCGGGGCAACATCCCAAAAGACAGTTATCTTCCTGTTTCTTATTCATGGCAGAAAATTCCTAGGTGCAGTCAACACATTTACAAAAATTTGTGATTGTTATCTATATTTTCTTCTCCCTGATACGAAATAGTCCATTACAAACGTATAAAACAGTTTACATTTATTAACTAGAATATTAAGCTTTAATATTAAATATCGCTATTCGTTTACACCAGTCTACTAATTTGTTATACCGAATGTTTAAGAAATTAGTGCACAAATACCGCGGAGTTATACATGACTTCAAAATAGTCGTAACGTTGTCAGGGACAAGTGTGCACAACGTCTTCTGTATTGGGACACGGTACAACTAATTCATGTTATTATGTAAGGTAATAAATGGTGTACTGCATAATACTTTATTCCGCAATGCGGTCTATTTACCTAAGAGCACAAACACGTTAAAAGGATGTCTGATAACTGTTCACAGTTAACATCAATGCAAACGTCAACTCACTCAGGGAGTGCCCCAGAAGCTCAGTACTGCTTTTTCGTCAAATCTTTAACACTTTAAAACACTTCCTCACTAATAGTGACCACTTTCATCTTGAAGTTGTCCTACACTGTAAATTGTCCTATGGAACAAAATTCTTCCTGAGTAGCAATGACTCAGCTATCATGGAACTTCTCGTATTTAGTGGATCCCGAAATATCATTACCCAGTTTACAAGAGCCTGTCACTATTCCCTATTCTGAGGCAGAAAATTCCAGTCCACATACATAAAAAATGAATGCGTTGCGGTCATGGGTTTGTTCAGAGCTTGAACAGAGTCTGAGGATTTCTGCAGACAATGGTTTCGTTACTGATATAGAGCATCCTGTTTAATTCAAACGGGAATGCTTCTATTAAACACAACACCTATTTACAATATAATGGCGTAGATGGAAGCATAATATTAAAACATTCTTAAAAAGGGTTTCATAGTGACGAATACAGCGCAAAACACTGATTTTATCACTTATACGAATGAAAATGTGAAATGATATAAAAATATTTTAACGTGTAATGTTAAAACATCTTTG